ACTCCACCCTTCCCAGACAGGCAATTGCTGGGCTCATTTCCCTCCACCAATGACTTGAGCAGAAGGATTTGGTTCCTCTTCCTCCTGCAAGTGCTGTGTACAACCTCAGACACCTCTCGTGTTGCAGGAGCAGCAGCATGATCCCTCCAGTGAACATCATCCAGCAGCAGCCCTCGCCCGCCGGCCGGATCCTATCGCAGATCTCCCGCCACTCCAGCCCAGCTCAGGTCAGCGGGACCACCTGGGCTCCAGGGACACGGCCGGTGTTCACACCCCAGGTAGCACAGCCCAACCCCTCAGTGCAGGCCCTGGGTCCCTGCTGCCTTCCAGACCCTGCTCTCCGTGGGGAACCATCCTGCTTCCGCTCTCTGGCGCTGCGTGTCCGTGTGCTTCCTCCTTCGCGGCTCATCCGGCAACTCCTCCCTGAGCTGAGGGTCGGGGTGAAGCCTTGCCTCCTCTTCCTCTGCTGTGTTTTTCCTCTCTTACAGCAAGTGGCATCCCAGACAGTGAAGACCCGAGCGCCTTCCTTCGGCATGGGGACGTTCCAGGGCACGCCGTCCTCCTTCAGCTCCATGACAGCGCCGGGATCGACGGCTTCTCCCACCACGGTGCCGTACCCAGCCCTGGCCAGCCGTGGCACAGGCTTCAGTGAGTGGGGCTTGGGGGGCAAAACACCCCTGGGAGGAGAGCTGGGAGCGTCCAGCTGTGGTGGGATGTGCTCTCCGTCATTTTTGGTGGATTTTGGGAGTGCCTAAATGTGGGGAGCAGAGTTGAAGCTGTGCTTTGGCTGACGCTGATCACCTTCAGTCATCCTCCAACCACAGAGTTGGACTTGGTGGTTCTTGTGGATCCCTTCCAGCTTGGGATAATTGGGGTTGTCCCAGCAGATGAATTTTGAACCATTTTAAGGCTGGCTAGGAGGAAACAAACCCCTCTGGGAGTCTCTCTGTTCTTTCCCATGGGGAACACCTGAATTCCTGTGGCAGGAATTCCTGCAGGACAGCCCTGCCCTGTCACCAGCAGCACCACACGGAGCACTGCCCTTCCCAATCCCATCAGAGCACTGGAGAAGCCCCATTCCCAAAGGAGGGATGATTCACTGCCTGTGTTCTCTTTCAGCAGCCACAGAGGCAGCTCAGACCCCGGCCCCGTTCCAGCCCCGCGCCGCCGACGCCGTGGGAATGTGGCCACAGTGGCAAGGACAGCACCACGGCCCAGGATCTGGGGAGCAGCACGTGCAGCAGCCCCAGCCCAGCCAGCCTGAGGTCTTCCCAGTAAGATGGGGCTTTTTAACCTCCCAATCTGGTGGGATCCACTGGTTTTGAAGCACACAGAGCTTGTCCCTCTGGTTCAAATCAACTGGGGAGGTCCCAAACTCCTGGATAACCTGATGGAGCTGGAAGTGGAGAGGGCAGGACTGGCTTTGTGTCTTGGTCTGTTGCAGGATCAGTGTGAAATTCCAGTTGGATTAACCCTTCTAATTCTAATTAATTAAAAAAAAAAAGCTGGAGTCCAATGAAATTAAAATAATTCCTGAGAATTCATAATCATCTCACCCCAGCTTTCCCAGCAGTTGGTGATTATAACTTAAATTTGCTGCTCTCCTTAAATTTCCCTTGGACACAGACCCTGTGTTCTCTTGTGGAAGGGACCAGTTTGGTCCACAGCATCTATTCCAGCAAACCCATGATTAAATTGCCCACATGATCGTGGAGCCATGGAATTGTTGAGGTTGAGAAAAGCCTCTGAGATGGAGTCCAGCTGTTCCCCTTAATTTCCAATCTAAACCTCCCTGGCACTCCTTGATATTCCAGTCTGGATCCTAACCCTCTCCTTGTATCCTCACAGGACATGCTGACCATGCTGGGGGACCAAGGGCCCAACTACAACAACGAAGAATTCCCAGAGTTGAACATATTCCCTTCTTTTTCTGAGTAAAACAAGCCTTAGGGGAAACAACATAAACCTCTCACCAATATCCACATGTAAAGGAAAACAGCAGAGTCTTTTTCTCAAGGAACTGTCTAAACTCTTCCCAACTTCTGGAAGCAGAGCTCCAAGGAGGGAATGGCCCTGGAGGACGAGGTGGTTTGGACACCTCCTCCATGTGGGATTGTTCTGGAAGCTTCAGGACTTGAGTGCCACGAGGCCAAAGGCCCCAGAGCTGCTCCCAAGTGGATTTCTTTGGGAGGGATTCCTGTCTGGATCACGCAGACAGCCCTTCCAAACTTTTAAGGTGGCTTTTGACTGTTTTTATTTCATTCTCTGCCGTGACTTTTTCTATAAAACACAAAACTATTGGAATTTTTAAATACTGGGAGGAACTCTTCCAAGTGTTATCCCTGTAAACACAATCCTGGAGGATGCTTGAGTAAGAATCCGTGTCCCAAGCCAGTGTTTTCCTCCTTTTTGGAGGAATTTTGGCTGTTTTTGGAGGGTTGTTACAGCGTCTCCAGCCCAGGGTGCTCCACGTGGAGATTCCTGTGTTTGTTTGGAATCTTCCCTCTCCTGTGAACTGTGCAATGAAATCAGTGTGACCCATGACCCCCCTCGTTACCCCGGGATAATTAACAAGCCATAAAAATATTACCCATGTAGCTTTCTTCTGGATGAATCAATTTTCCAGCTGATGGTTTCTGTGCTGCCACAAATTGATGTTTCAACAGGTTTGGTTTTTTTTTTGGGATAAAACCTGCTCCACGCTGTCCATGGAATTTTATCACACGTAGATGAGTTCCTTGTCCTCGTTTTGGAGCTGGATGTAGGAGAATCCTTGAATTTGATCAGGGAATTGCTGAGGAACTGTGTGTTTTCACTACATTTGCTCACTCACCATCTCCTTAAAGAAGAATTCCTGCCATGGGATGATCCTGTTGCCAAATGACAAAGAGGAGAGCTGGAAAAGCAGGGAACAGAATGAATTTTTATATATATATATATATCTATATATATAAATTTTTAATTTTTAAACATTGACTTGGAATCTTCTGGCTTTTTCCATGGGGAAAAAAAAAAACCAAAAACCAACTTGTGGCCAACCCTGCTCTCCTCAGGGGCTGGAAGAACCATTTGATTCCCTCTTGCTTCAATTCCAACAGGAAAATGAATTGCAGAGTTGGACTTGGAAGGAAATTTGGCACAACAGCAGCTGGGGAAGAATCCCAAGTGTTCCTGGAAGCCTGGTTTTGTTTTGAGTGGAATGTGGGTGTTCCCCCCTTTTCCCTGCATGTTGTGGGGGGGCTCTGGGACCCCCCAGGCTGGTTGTGAGTGTTCTTTCTGCTGGTTGAGGGCAAGAATGGGGAGACCCCCACCCCCTTTTCCAAGAGCTGGTTCCAGAGCTGTCATTCCTGACTAAAATCCTCTTAGGAAGCTTTGAAACCTTTGTGTCACCAACCCAGAGAGATTCCTCTTGTAAGTGGAGCAGGAAGCTTTATTTTTCCCCTCTCCTTTTCCCTCTGGAAAATTAAGACTTGAAGGTTTTGTTTTAGTTGGTTTTGGTTGTTTTTTTTTTTTTTTAATTTTATTCCAAATTTCTCTGTGGATAAGTGGGAACATCCCATCTGAAGAAACCTGTGATCCACCCTGTCCCATTATCCAGGGAGTCTCTTCCCAGCAATCCCATCACATCCTGGGCCCTTCCCCTTCAGTCCTTCAAGGAGGAGGAAAATTCCAATTTCCCTGATCCCTTGCAGGTCCCATGGCTGTATCCCCACCAAATTTTCCAGCTCCTGGGAGAAGGAAAGCAGCTGGAGCAGCCAGATCTGTTGAAGGAGGATGAGGAGTGGCTGATAGGGTTCCTGGGGGGCACAGGCTGGGTCTTTTCCCCCCTCTTAGGGAGCTCCAGTGTTGGTCCTGGGGGGAATTTTGTCCCACACTCCCTGGGGGGACAGGAACTGAACCCCCCTCGGGTGTGCCCCAGCCCCAGGTACCTCAGCCCAGTGGATTCTGGGCAGCAGAGATTTTCCAACAAGAGATTTTCCCTTTTTCCAACCTTTGTCTCATTTCTGCCTCTTGGAGGAATGTCCCTAAATCCCCATCCCCTCTCTGTTCTGATCCCCAAACCCATTCCCTCCCTGTTTTGTCCCCTGTTTTGACCCCCATTTCCCCCCCATAAGCCTCCTCCTCCCATTTTGCCCCCCAAACCCCTCGTACCCCCCCGTTTGTCCCCGTTTGTCCCCTCGGTTCCCGGTCACTCACTGCCACGTCAGGGCCTCGTGCTCCAGGGGATGATTCTGCCCTGGAGCCCCGGGGTGACTCAGCCCCCTTGTCCCCACAGAGGTCACAGGGGAGTGGCCCCTCTCTTGGGGACCCCCGTGGGGAAGGGGTGACAGGGACCCACCCCCACCTTGGTGCTGCTCCGTCCCCCCTCGCCCCTCTCCCCTGCTGCTCCCTGGGATGATCTGTCCTTGTTCCCATGGCTGGAGGGTGACAATGACAGTGACGATGATGATGTCGATGTCCCCAGTGTGACATGTCTGGGATGGCTCCACCGGGACCTTCCTCCTTGTCCTGGCAGGAGCCGCGTGACGAGGTGACAATCACTGCAGAAAGCACCGTCCTGCCCCACCTCCCCCGGCCTGGGACCCCTCCCCAAGCTGGGTACCGGCTTGGGGACACTGGGGACAGAGGTGGGGGGGTCCTGCCCTCCATTCCTGCTGTCACACGATGTCCCCAAGCTGCCGTGTCAGGCTGCTCCTGAAGGAACTGGGTGCTCAGCCCCGTCCGAATCGGGCACGGGGAGGACTTGGGGACAAGGTGGGTGTCCCCCAGGGCAGCAGGACATCCCCAAGGTGGGATGCCGGGACAAGAGAATGTCCCCAAGGTGGGATGCCAGGACAAGAGAATGTCCCCAGGGCAGCCAAGGTGGGATGCCAGGACAAGAGGGTGTCCCTGGGGCCAGGATCTTTGGGACAGGAGGGCGTCCCCAGGGCAGGATGCTGGGGTTGGGGGACATCCCAGGGCCAGGAGAAGGTCCCGGGCAGGAGAAGGTCCCGGACCGGGAGGATGTCCCGGGCCGGAGGATGTCCCGGGCCGGAGGATGTCCCGGGCAGGAGAAGGTCCCGCACCGGGAGGATGTCCCGGGCAGGAGAAGGTCCCGCACCGGGAGGATGTCCCGGGCAGGAGCCGCCACCGGCCCCGCGCCGGTGCTGACTCAGCTCGTCCCGCAGCATCACGTGAAGCCGGGGGCAGCCCCCGCGTCCCCCCTCCTTGTCCCCTCCTTCCCTCCAGCCCATCCAAACCCGATGCTTGCCAAAATTTTCCGGCTGCCTCCAAACTTCCTCAATCCGGCAGCATAAAAGCGCAGCGGCTCCGTCCCGGCGCTCCCACCGACGGCTCCGTGCTCGGTAAGCGGCGGGGAGGGGTCCCCCGGGGGGGCGCTGGGTGCCTTTTTCCGCAGGGAAATTCATCCCAATGGGAATGGAAGAGAATCGGGTCCCATGTGGGACCTTGGGAGGCACAAAAAGGGAAACTGAGGCACTTTACTTTGAGCGGACCTGGGGGTCCCCGGCTCGGGGGAGTGTCCCAGGTCCTGCTGTGCCACGGGGGGCTGGGTGAACCAGGGAGGGGCAGGATGGGTGGGATGTGCCCCCTCCTGCATCTTCTGCATCCCAAAACTCCCCCCCGGCTTGGGGCTGCCGGAACGAGCCGGTTACGGGAGCGGTAACGGGAACCAGCTGTCCCGGCTCATGTGATGCCGGCGCCTGGCCAGCCCTGCCCGCGGGGGTGTCCTGGCCCCAAATGGAGGGAGGAAGGGGTCCCAGAGCTCAGCCAGGGGGTCCCAGCCCCAAATCGAGGGAGGAAAGGGTCCCAGCCCCAAATCAGGGGGTGCAGAGCGTCCCAGCCCAAAAAAATCAGGGTGTGCAGGGTGTCCCAGCCCCCAATTAGGGTGTGCAGGGGGTCCCAGACCCAAATCAGGCTGTGCAGGGGGTCCCAGCCCCAAATCAGGGTGTGCAGGGTGTCCCAGCCCCCAATTAGGGTGTGCAGGGGGTCCCAGACCCAAATCAGGCTGTGCAGGGGGTCCCAGCCCCAAATCAGGGTGTGCAGGGGGTCCCAGACCCAAATCAGGTGGTGCAGGTCCCAAATCAGGGTGTGCAGTGTCTCAGCCCCAAGTCAGGGTGTGCAGGGGGTCCCAGCCCCAAATCAGAGTGTGCAGAGGGTCCCAGCCCCGAACTGAGGGAGGAAGGAGTCCCAGCCCCAAATTAGGGTGTGCAGGGTGTTCTGGTCCCACAGGAGGGTGGGCACAGAGTCCTACCCCCACCCAGCCCCCCTGGCTCAGTCTGTGCCCTGTCCCCAGCATCCAGCTGGTCCCCAGGATGTGGTGGCCCGTGCTGCTGGCCCTGCTGGTCCCCACGGCGCTGGCCCAGCTGCACCCAGAGCCAGAACTGGACGCGCAGTGGGAGCTGTGGAAGAAAACCCACCACAAGCAGTACAACGGCCAGGTACGGGGGGGTTCTGTGCTTGGGACCCCCAGTGACGTCCCCAGGGTGGGGTGCTGGGGCACAAGGATGTCCCGAGGGTGGGGGACACGGGCAGGACCCCTGTCCCAGCACCGTCTCGCCCCCGGCGCAGGCGGACGAGGTGACGCGGAGGCTGATTTGGGAGAAGAACCTCAAATACATCAACACCCACAACCTGGAGCACTCCCTGGGCGTCCACACCTTCGAGCTGGCCATGAACCACCTGGGCGACATGGTGGGTGTCCCTGGCGGGGGACAGAGCGGGGCTGAGCCCCTGTGGGTGCTCCCACCCACCGGGGTTCCTTCCTCAGACCAGCGAGGAGGTGGTGAGGACAATGACCGGGCTGAAGGTGCCCCGTGGTCGCCAACGCCACAACGAGACACTCTTTGTCCCCGACTGGAGCGAGAGGGCCCCGGCTGCCATGGACTGGCGCAAGAAAGGCTACGTGACCCCTGTCAAGAACCAGGTGAGGTGCCTGCAGCAGGGTGTCACCCCGGTGTCACGCCGGTGTCACCCCGGTGCCACCCGTTGTGTCCCCACAGGGCCAGTGTGGCTCGTGCTGGGCTTTCAGCTCGGTGGGCGCCCTGGAGGGGCAGCTGAAGAGGAAAACAGGCAAACTGCTGTCCCTCAGCCCCCAAAACCTGGTGGACTGCGTGGCCAACAACGACGGCTGCGGCGGCGGGTACATGACCAACGCCTTCGAGTACGTCCGGCAGAACCGCGGCATCGACTCCGAGGACTCCTACCCCTACATCGGCCAGGTGTGAGGGGGGCCAGCCCCAAATCCCCCTCCGTCCCTCCCATCCCCATCTCCCCTGACCTTCCCGGCCCCACGCAGGACGAGAGCTGCATGTACAGCCCCACGGGGAAGGCGGCCAAGTGCCGCGGCTACCGCGAGATTCCCGAGGGGAACGAGAAGGCGTTGAAGAGGGCGGTGGCCAGGATCGGGCCCATCTCCGTGGGCATCGATGCCAGCCTGCCCAGCTTCCAGTTCTACAGCAGGGGTGAGGGGCCGGGGGGATCTCAGGGGGCGCGGGGCTGCTGGGGGAGCTGAGGCACGCCCGGTGACGCCGGCTGTGTCCCCAAGGCGTGTACTACGACGAGAGCTGCAACGCTGAGAACATCAACCACGCCGTGCTGGCCGTGGGCTACGGGGCACAGAAGGGCACCAAGCACTGGATCATCAAGAACAGGTACAGGGGTTGGGATGCCTTGGGAATTGCAGGTGGCTGGGGCTCTTCCAGAGGCTCAGGCTCTGCTCTTCCACCCTGCAGCTGGGGCGAGGAATGGGGCAACAAGGGCTACGTCCTCCTGGCCCGCAACATGAACAACGCCTGCGGTGTGGCCAACCTGGCCAGCTTCCCCAAGATGTGAGCCAGCCCTTCCCTACCCACTGCCCTGCCCTCCAGCTTGGCCTCTTCCCTCCCAGCCTCAAAGATGACCGTGCTCCCGGGGGGAATTCTTTGTCTCCGTGAGAAGTTTCCCCTGGGAAGGGGGAGACACTCCCTCTTCACCTGCAGGGAATGGGAGATGAGTCCCCTCAACTCTTTTATTTTTTCCACACTTTGCCATGTTGGCTTCTGCCTTCCCATGGACTGTGCTTGGCCTGATCTGTGGAGGCCAATCCAGCCAGACATGCTTCAGGAAACAGGTTCCACACCAGCCTCTGCCTCAGGAGGCCTGGGGTGGAGGTGGAATATTCCCAGTGGAGAACACAGATCCCTCTCCCTCCACCCTGTATCCCAGTGGAGGCTGCTGAGAATGATATGACTTTATTTTTCAACTAAAATTGGGAATAAGGCTTGGACTGGTTTGCTTCGTGCTGGGAAAGGGCCACAGGGGTGGGAAAAATTCTTCCTTTTCCCAAAGGGGGAAAGAGCCCCTTGTGGGGCAGAATAGGCTGGAATTTTGGGATGGGTGGATGGAATATCTGGGGAGGGGGTGGTTCTGGGAAGGACACAGGGAAGGACAGATGGGTGGATGGACCCACAGGACACCCCCAGCCCCATCAGAGTCCCCCACACCCTCCCCAGGGAGTGTCAGCCGTGGCTGGGGGGGGGGGGGGGCACCATGGGGGATTTGGGGACCCTGAGGTCCCATGAGGGATTTGGGAACCTCCCGTGATTGTGGCCACGGTGGGGACACGAGTGACAATGACACTGTGGGGCCACAAGAATCCAGGGAAGAGGTGCACAGAGACCCCCTGGGGGGGCACGAGGCCGTGCGTGCCCCGCGTGGCTGAGCGCGGTGACCACAGCACACCCCAAAACCAAACACGGGTATCACAGCAGGCCTGACACACCCCAAGAGTGCAAACACCCCAATACCCACCCACGCCCCGCCACACCCCGGAATGGGGCTGAGATCCGGGGGGGGGCCCCCCCTGAAACAATGGAGACAGCGAGGCATAAGGAAATCCCCCAAAAGCAAAACCAGGGACACTCAGAGGTGACACCGCAGCATCTTTATTGTTCCCTCGTTCCGGGAGGGGTTCACTCCTCGTGGCCGGGGGGCGGGGGCGCCAGGGCGGCCCCCAGGCTCACCTGGCTCAGGTAGGTGTTGTCGAAACAGCGGCGCCGCTCGGGCTCCTCCCACGAGCAGCAGCCCTGAGGGTCCCGCCAGGCGTCCCGGGGGGTGGCACAGAGCGTGGCGATGCCCTGGGACAGCTGTGGGCGATGGGCACGGGGGTCAGGGCGGCTCTGGGGGTCCCCCAGCGCCCCTAAACCCCTCGGGCACTCACTTGTGGGCGATGGGCACGGGGGTCAGGGTGGCTCTGGGGGTCCCACGGCGCCCCTAAACCCCTCGGGCACTCACTTGTGGGCAATAGTGCCCCTAAACCCCTCGGGCACTCATTTGTGGGTAATGGGGATGGGGGTCAGGGCGGCTCTGGGGGTCCCACGGCGCCCCTAAACCCCTCGGGCACTCACTTGTGGGTAATGGGCACGGGGCTCAGGGCGGCTCTGGGGATCCCCCAGAGCCCCTAAACCCCTCAGGCACTTACTCGTGGGTAATGGGGATGGGGGTCAGGGCGGCTCTGGGGGTCCCACGGCGCCCCTAAACCCCTCGGGCACTCACTTGTGGGTAATGGGCACGGGGCTCAGGGCGGCTCTGGGGATCCCCCAGAGCCCCTAAACCCCTCAGGCACTTACTTGTGGGTAATGGGGATGGGGGTCAGGGCGGCTCTGGGGGTCCCACGGCGCCCCTAAGCCCCTCGGGCACTCACCTGCTCCCGGGCACAGGCGCCGCGCTCCTCGGGGGGCAGCGGGCAGCACGCAGCCGTCATGGCCCCCAGCAGCTCCGGTACCGGCCGCCTGCGGACCCGGACACGGGGGTGAACACGGGGGGGACACGGGGGGGAACACGGGGGGGAACACGGGGGTCACCTCCAAGGGGGTTTAAGGCGGGGGGGATGGGCTGCTGCGTCCCCTCCCCGAGCAATGGAGAGCCCCGGACGGCGGGGATGGGGATGAGGGGTCCTGCAAAGCTGGGACCCCCCAAGAGGAGGGACCGCGCTGTCCCCGCGGGCTGTTTTGGGGTCACTCACGTCTTGGTGAAGAGCCTGGTGGGGCCGCAGAGCGAGCGCAGCAGGGCCGGGCCGGGCCGGGCCAGGCTCACGTTGTGCAGCTCCCGGTCGTATTCGGGGTGGGGGGCGGCGGCGGCGAAGCAGCGACCCCTGGCCCGGGGACCCCCCCGCTGGCAGCACCGGTGCTGCCCCGTCTTCACCGATGATTCTTCCCGGCAGAAGCGATTCAGCCCCTTCAGCCACTGCGGAGGAGAAGCTGGGGGTCAGGGGGCTGCCCGGATACTGGGACCCCCGAACACCTGGGTCATCCCTGGGACATTTCCGTCCCCTCCCCGGATGCCGGGGCCCCTCCCTGACACGTTTGTCACCTTCCCGGATACCTGGGAGCCTTCCCGGCCTCTGAGTGGCTGGGTCACGCTCCGGGCACATGGGTCATTCCCGGGACACCTGGGGCCACTCCCCGGATACCGGCGTGCCAGCCCGGGCACCTCGGTCCCGTCCCCAAACACCTCAGTCCCTTTTCCCAAGCACCTGGATCCCTTTTCCCAAACATCTCAGTTCCTTTCCCAAGCACCTGGATCCCTTTCCCAAACACCTCGGTCCCTTTCCCAAACACCTCAGTCCCTTTTCCCAAACACCTCAGTCCCTTTCCCAAACACCTCAGTCCCTTTCCCAAGCACCTGGATCCCTTTCCCAAACACCTGGATCCCTTTCCCAAACACCTCGGTCCCTTTCCCAAACACCTCAGTCCCTTTCCCAAGCACCTGGATCCCTTTCCCAAACACCTGGATCCCTTTCCCAAACACTTCTGTCCCTTTCCCAAACACTCGGTCCCTTTTCCCAAACACCTCGGTCCCTTTTCCCAAACACCTCAGTCCCTTTTCCCAAACACTTCTGTCCCTTTCCCAAACACTTTTGTCCCTTTCCCAAACACCTCGTTCCCTTTTCCCAAACACTTCTGTCCCTTTTCCCAAACACCTCAGTCCCTTTCCCAAACACCTGCGCCCTTTTCCCGGTCACCTGCGCCCCCCCAATCCTTTGACACCTGAGACCCTCCCAAAGCCCTGGAGCCCCCCGAACCCTTCAGCCCCTCCCTCCCGTCCTTGTCCCCCCGCCCCGTGTCGCCGCTCACAGCGTTGTGGGCGCAGCTCAGGCTCTCGTTGCGGCAGCAGCGGCCGTACTCCCGCTCCAGCCGGACCCGCAGCCGCACGCGGGGCCCGGAGCGCCCACCGGGGCCGGGGGTCCCGGGGCGCAGCGCCCGCAGCCCGCAGATGTTGCCCAGGTTGGTGGCCGTGGGCTCGCCGGGAGGAAAGGGCGGCTCGGCGACCAAATCCCAGGCGGCATTGGGGTCCCAGGTGGGGACGGGGTCCCAGGTGGGGGCCGGGGTCTCCTGGGCGAAGCAGCGGCGCCGCGCGGCCCCGTGCCGGCGGCAGCAGTGGAACTGCCGCGTCTTCACCCCGAACTCATCCGTGCAGAAGCCGTCCAGCACGTCCGTCCACTGCGGGGCAGGGGGACACGGCCCCCTCGGTGTCACCCCGTGTCCCGCCCTCCGCAGGGCACAGTCCCCTCTCCCGGCCCCCTAGCCCCCCCGCCACCGCGGTGTCCCCACGTTACACCGGCCCCAGTGTCTTCCCCTGCAGCAGTGTCCCCGTGTCCCTCACGGTGTCCCACTCCCCGCGATCCCCCCATCCCCGCAGTGTCCCCGTGTCCCTCACGGTGTCCCACTCCCCGTGATCTCCCCATCCCCGCAGTGTCCCCGTGTCCCTCACAGTGTCCCACTCCCCGCGATCCCCCCATCCCCGCGGTGTCCCCTCTCACCGCGGTGTTCCCGTGTCCCTCACGGTGTCCCCCACCCCTGCGGTGTCTCCCCATACTCTCAGTGTCCCCCTCCCATCCCCTCGGTGTCCCCATCCCCTCAGTGTCCCCCTCCCATCCCCGCGGTGTCCCCTTCTCCTCAGTGTCCCCATCCCTTCAGTGTCCCTTTCACCTCAGTCCCCCCATACCCTCAGTGTCCCCCCCTCCCTGCAGTGTCCCCTCCCGCGGTGTCCCCATCCCCTCAGTGCTCCCTGTCCCCTCAGTGTCCCCATCCCCTCACTGTCCCCGTCCCCTCAGCCCTGCTCCCCCGGGTGTCCCCTCGCGGTGTCCCCACTCACGGCGCGGCGGGCGCAGGGCAGCGGGCTGTGGTGCCGGCAGCAATCGTTCATGCGGGGCCGCAGCGCTGCCAGCGCGGCCGCCTGCCGCCGCAGGTGGGCGAAGGCGTTCGGGGGGAGCAGCAGCGGCGGCGGCAGCGTGGGGGGGTCGCGGCAGTGCTCGGTGACCGTGGCGGCCATGGGCCAGGCGGGGGGGAACCCGTCCAGGGCGCTGCCCCACACCGGGGGGCTTCTCGAGGGGAACATGGCCCCCCCCACCAGGATGTCGGGGGGCACCTCGAGGTCCTGCTCCTGCTGCAGCACTGGGAAAGGGGAGCGGGTGGGCACAGGGCGGGGGGCGGGGGGGGGCCTTGTCCCTGTGTGCCCCCCTCTCCCCATTCTGTCCCTGTGGTCTCACTCCTGTGCCCAACCCTCAGCGTCCCCATGTCGCTCCCACCCCGTGTCCCCCCCATCCGAGTCCCCCTTCGCCTCCATCACCATGTCCCCACGTCCCTCCACCCCTAACCCTGACCCCCCCCGTGTCCCCTCCATCCATATCCCCCCCACGAGCATCCCCCTGTCCCCACGGGTGTCCCCCTTTGTCCCCTCACCTTGTTTGATGTTGGGGGGCCGCAGGTCCAGGCTCTCCTGCACCACCTGCTGCAGATGCCCCGATGCCAGCGCTGTCACCCACGGGGGACACAGGGGGTCAGCAGGGTCACCCCCTCCATCCCCCCACCCATGGAACAGCGAGCAGGGACACCCCCAGACCTGTGGGCTTGGAGCTCCATAATGGGGAGGGGGCCCAGCTATTTGGGAAGGGTCCCAGAAGTTGAGGAGGGTCCCCAGGAGCTGGAGAAGGGGACCCAGGAGGGATGCAGCTGTTTGGGACAGGGAGCTCCAGGCATTTGGGAGGGATCCAGGCGTGTGGGCAGCAGCCCTGACATCCGGGGTGGGGAGCCAGGTGTCCGTGGGGGTGTCCCAAACACCTGGACGGGAGCCCAGGTGTCCCGGGTGGGCTCCAGGAGTTCGGGAGGGGGGGATCCAAATACCCGGGGAAGGGACCCCGAGCTCGGAAAGGGCACCCCAGATCTCAGCGGGGGATCTCAGGTGTTCAAAAAGGGGACCCAGGTGTCCGGGGAAGGGACCCAGCAGTTCGGGAAGGGGTCCCAGGTGCCCGGGGGGGCCCTGGGTGGGGCCCGCGGGGACTCACCGGCGGCGCTGAGGAGGAGGAAGAGGCCGAAGGCCGCCATGGCGTCGGGAGCTGTAGGGTCAGCGCCGGCTCCGCCGCCTTATGAAGGGCCGGGTCGGGCGTGGGGCCACATCCCGCGGGGCTGAGTCACGGCCTGACGTCGCCGCAGAGCCGGGAGGGGGACCCCGGGGGGCTGCGCTGCATCCCGCACCCCCAAACAGCGCCAGGGGCGGACCCCCCCCAGCAGGGCTGGGACAGCCCCGTGGAAGCGGTCAGGCCACATTTTTGTGGGTTTTGCCCCGTTTTGGGGCCCCCACCCACTGAGTCACCCCCGGCGCTGGGGGGGCTGAAGGGCCACCCTCCAGAGGGACCCCCGGACATGGAGGGGGGGGGTCCCTCAGCTCATGTCCCCGAGGGTCACAGCCTTGGTCACCTACGGACAGGGGGATCGCGGGGCTGGGGGGGCTCCAGTCCTATCCCGGGATAATCAAATCGTGCCCACCCGGCCGGGCAGGTGTTTGGGGTGTGGGGGGGGAAACACCCCCGTGTCCCCCCCCCGATTGCCCAAGGGCGTTTGCGGCTCGGGCTTTGCGCAACCCCCCCACTTTCCCCGACGCGTGGGCGGGGGGGAAATCCCGGCTGGAAGGACCCAGAAGTGCCGGGGGGAGCTCGGGACAGGGAAGGGAGGTGGGAACGGAAACCTGGGAATGAGAGCTCTGGAATCGCCACCCGAGCCTCGTGGGGAGCGTATCCAGGGATTTTGGGGGGGTCCCCAAGGCGCTGCCCCCCTCCCCGAGCACCCCAGTCTCAGCTCCCACGACATCCAGCGAGTTTTCCAGCGGTTTATTGAGTTGGGGGGGGGTCTCGAGAAGAAACGGGGGGGGTTCAAAAGCGCTGCTCGGCGTCGGGGACGCGGCTGTCCCGCAGCTCCTGCAGCCGCTGCAGCACCCGGGGCAGCTCCAGCTCGCCGAGCTGCCGGTTCTCCCGGCTCCGGACGCTGACGGTGCCGCGCTCCCGCTCCCGCCGCCCCACCACTGCGGGGGCACGGCTGTCAGGGGGGGTCCCCGAGCCCCCCGACCCGCACAGGCACCCACCGCCCCGCAGGGTCCAGGGTAGGGACTCCAGGGGGTTCCCAAAGGGGGTGGGGGTCCCTAAAACACTCCTGGGAAGGTCCCGAATGGATCTCAGGGCGGTGCTGGTGAATTCCCAAGGGGGGACTGAGCTCCTGGGGGGGGCTCCTGAGGGGGTCTCACAGTGGGGGCTCCCAGGGGAGGGTCTCAGTTTTCCTCCCCAGCAGCACCCAGGATGTGGATGGGGGTGTCCAGCCAGTCCTGGGGGGCTCCAAGGGGGTCCTGGGGGGTCTGCAGGCCACGCCCCACCCTTACCCAACTGGAAGTTGTAGTGGGCGAGTTGGGCCCGGCGGATCTTCCGTGCCAGGGTGGTCCCGGGGTCCCCGTCCAGGTCAGCCAGGAGGCCCCCCCTCCTCAGAACTGCCTGCACCTGCACCCCCAGAGTCAGTGGGGGGCACGGGGGGGCAGGGAGGGATGGTACGGGGGGGTCACAGGGGATGGGAGCACAGGGGGGTCACACACTCACCTCCCGGGCATAGTCCTCCACCTCGGGGGTCTGTGGGATGACCATGGCCTGCAGTGGGGACAGCCAGAGGGGCCTGGGGGGCACAGAGGTCACTGGGGGACACTGGGGAGGACAGGGGGCAACACACAAGGAGGGGGTGCCCCAAGGGTTGCAGGGGAGTCCCCAGGATGGAAGGACCCCAAAGATGGAGGTGTCTCAGGGATCCAGAGTGTGGTGGGGATTGAGTGTCCCCAAACCTGGGGAGCGTCTGTCCCAAAAGGGGTGACACTGGGTTTGAGGGGGCTCAGATAACTGGGGGTGCTTCTGGGGGTCGTGTCCCAGGGGCTGGCGGTTGCCCGAAGGACTGGGGGTGAGCTGTGGGGTGTTTTTGGGGTCCCCCCTCACCATCGCCCGCCGTAGCTCTCGGCCAGCACGGCCACCATGCGCTCCACGGAGCCCAGCACGGCCCGATGGACCAGCACGGGCCGGGCGGGGGTCCCGCTGGGGCTGGGGGGAAACGGGGGTCAGGGGGGCAGGGAGACCCCCCTGACGCCCCCCAGTTCTGCCTTGCCATCCCAATCCCAGTGCCCCAAATCCCCAATTCTGCCTTCCCCATCCCCATCCTGACGCCCCCAGCTCCATTTCTGTCCCTCCACCCCAATCCTGACCCCCCTCCCAGTCCCCAGTTCCACCCTCCCAACATTCCCCAATCCCAATCTTGCTCCCCCAGCCCAAACCCTGATCCCCCCCCCCAGAAATCCTGAATCACAGCCCAATCCTGTCCCCACCCAAATCCCCAGTCCTGCCCCCCCTCCCAACACCTGGCATATTCCAGCTCGAATCTCTCAGGCATCTGGAAATCCAGCTGGATGGTGCCACACTGGTGGTGCCTCCCCAGAGCATCCCTGATCCTGATATCGATCTGTAGGGAATCAGGGGACAGGGAGGCTCCTGCAGGGCCCTGGTTTGTCCCCTTCAGGGACCCCCCCTCCCCAAAATGCCTCACCTTGGGCCCATAAAAGGCGCCGTCCCCCGGACTCAGCTCCCAGGGCTGCCCGAAATTCTTCAGGCTCCGCTCCAGCTGCTGCAGGGGTGGGTTGGGAGGGTCAGGTGGGCACAGAGCAGGGGGCACAGGGGTGGGGGGCACCATCCCACCTGCTCAGCACGATCCCAAGTTTCAGGGTCCCCCAGGAATCCGTCGGGACGCGTGGCCAGGGCCAGGCGGAAGGAGAAGCCCAGGACGGCGTAAACGGCGCGGATGAAATCCAGCGAGGAATCGATCTCGCTCTCCAGCTGGGAAAGAGCTGTCAGGGGGGCAGGTGACACATTCTGGGGGGGACAGGGAAACGTCAGGGGGACAGACACCTGCTCCAGGGTGCAGAAAATGTGGGCATCATCCTGCTGGAAGCGCCGGACCCGCGTCAGCCCCGTCAGGGTCCCGGGGGGCTCGTTGCGGTGCAGGACCCCGAAATCCGCCAGGCGCAGGGGCAGCTCCCGCCAGGAGCGCGGCCGGTGGGCGAACATCAGGCTGGGGACGGACAGACAGACAGACAGGCTGCCCCCAGGAGCCCCCCCCCGGGCACCCCAGGGCCGCCTGACTCACCAGTGGGCCGGGCAGTTCATGGGTTTGAGGGAGAGGGTCTCAGGGGTGGCAGGGACAGAGAAGATGTGGGGGCTGTAGTGCTGCCAGTGCCCCGAGAGCTCCCAGAGCCGGGGGCTGAACAGGTTGGGGGTCACCACCTCGCTGAAGCCCCTCGCCCGGTACTCGCTCTGCGGGGACAGGGACAGGGCAGGACGTCAGCTCAGCCCCACAGCATCGGGCACGGGGGGCTGCAGGGAGTGGGGAGGGCGAGAGTTGTGGGGTGCAGGGTGGGCAGAGAGGGGTATGGGGTGCAGCGGGGTCTGTGGGGGGCACAGCAGTGCCCGGCTGTGGTGGGGATGGGGTGACAAGGAGATGACGGGGGTCGTACCCGGATAAACTCCACCAGGGTGTTGTAGACGTGGGCACCACGGGGCAGGAAGAAGCAGCTGCCAGGGCTGAACTTGTGGAAGAAGAAGAGCTCCTGATCCTGCAGCAGGGAGGGAGGGCGTTACTGGGGGGGATCCCCGTGGCTGTGAGGGTCCCCCAGCCCCCGGCAGGGCTCACCTTCCCGATGCGGCGGTGGTCCCGCTGCGCCGCCTCCTCCTGTGCCCGCTCCCACTGCTCCAGCTCCCGGGTGCTGGGGAAGGCCACGGCGGCCACACGCTGCAGTGACTGACCCCCAGCTCCCCCCCAGAGCGCAGCCGAGCTCTGAGGGCACAGGGGGACATCAGAGGGGCACGGGGACCCCACCCAAAACCCGCAGTATGGGGGGATGGCAGCGGGGCAGGGCATGGGACCCCCAGCCGACACCCACCGTGAGCACCCGCAGGGCTCTGATCAGCCCCGTGTGCCTGAGGAGGGGCCCGTGGCACAGCTGGAGCAGGGGGCCACACCTGAGGGAGGAACAGACGGAGTGGGGACAGCTGTGGTGACCCACGGCCACCCCACGTCCCCTGTGCTCACCTGTAGACCGTGGCCGTGGGGGACGTCACCTCCTCGAGCTGCTGCAGCTGGAAGGCGTTGTGCTGAGGAGGGACAGCGAGGGGGGTGACGGTGGGCTTGGGGACATGAGAGGGGTGGCACCGAGGGGGGAGTGACACCGTGCTGGGGTGAAGGACCAAGGTGGTAACAGGTCACACCAAGGGGGGGTGACATTGGGCCTGATGAGCATCACCCCAGCCAGGAGGGTCCCAATGTCCCCAGTGTGACACTCTGGGGAGGGGGACACACCTGGAGCAGCTCAGCCAGCTGCTGGCGCGTGGCCTCGAGGCGCTCGAAGCGGTGCCGGGCACGGGCGAACGCGGCACAGGCCTCCTCCAGCACCGGCAGCTCCGCGCTCTGCACCGTCCTGGGGGCACGGGGACACGTTGGGGACACGCTGGGGACACCCTGGGGACCCCGCAGCACCTGCCCGGCCCTACCTGCTGCCCATGTGCATGTCGCAGAAGAAGCCGTCCTCGGTGGCCTGGGTGCTGCAAAGCGTCGCCCCGAAAAACTGCTCTGCCACCGCGGCCAGGACGCAGGCGCTGGAGCGCCAGAAAGCCTGGGGGGACACAGGGGACACGGGGGACACGGGGGACATTGGGGACACGGGGGACATTGGGGACACGGGGGACATTGGGGACACGGGGGCTGTGACGGGAGCAGGGCGCGGGTCCGGCACCCCAGGCCCCCGGGCTCACCTCCCGCCCCTCGGGCGTGCAGAAGTCGAGCAGCTCCAGGTCGGTGTCACCTTCCAGTGGCCGGTCCAGGTCCTGCAGGGTCCCGTTCACCCGGGCCACCAACGCCACCTCGGCCAGGCCAGCCCTACAGGGACACCAGAGAGGCCGTGGAGACACTGGGGGGGGACCCCATAAAGGCTGTGGGGGCTCTGTGGGGACCATGGGGACACCACGGGGACATTGCAGACCCCGTGAACCTCGTGGGGACTCTGTGGGGACCATGGGGACATTGAGAAGACCCTGTAGGCCTTGTGGGGGCTCTGTGGGAAATCTCAGGGACACCTCGGGGACATTGTGGGGACCCCGTGAACCTCGTGGGGGCTCTGTGGGGACCATGGGGACACCACGGGGACATTGTGGGGACCCCGTGAACCTCGTGG